AGTGAGGAAGAAAGTTGAAGCCGAAGGAAGACATTGAGGAGGAGAGAGCGAGGAGGAGAGAGGATGGAAAGGGGAGGGGGAAGGACCTCTCGCCCTCTGTCTTTGTAAGGGTCAAATCTGGGTTCATATGTTCTCTCAACTAAGAATTTTTTTTGCAGGAGACCGCAAAAATTTCGAACCCCGTTGGACAACCCCCCCACTCCCCTATGGGCCCACGGTAAGAGGACCCGAAACTGTTATTTGCCTACTATCTTTACCCTTCTTTGGTCGATTTCGCGCCCAAAGTTTAGAGTACGGAATCTTTGTGGCGTTTTAAACATCAAGGAATCGATTGGGGCGTGCGTTTGCTATTTAAGATTTTGTCATAGGTCACAGTTGACTATCGTTCCTTCGGGCTTCACTCTCGCGGGCACCGAAATGGGTTTCACATATCTCGGCCTATTTTCTCAAAAAAAGTTAGGAAGGTCAATTTTGGAGGTTTGAGGTCAAAGAATTTATTGATTACACATAGATCAGCTTTCAGACCCCTGGCGAAATTGCGGTTTCACCTGGTTAGTATGTACGACAGTTAGTCCTCAAAATCTGACAGACTGACAGTCTGCAATCGTCCTCGGTCAGCTTGTTACATACACAGTCCCACCAGCTGACTGCAATATCATTCTGTACATCGCTTCACATTCAGAGCCATTATTTGCCACTTTCTGGTGCAGATGTGCCAGAAAGAAACGACACGATGACATATGTCTCTTAGACGATTTGCATGCGCACTTGGCCACTGAGTGTTCCGGCAGCAACAAATTGCCAGCTCCACAATTAGATATATAATAATAGATCAATAATTAATAGATATATAATAATAGAATAAGATCTATTATTATTCACTCCAGATAACACACTAACACAATGGAACCAAGCCACGACCTTTCCCGCCGACCTCTGCGCCAACGCATTCTTCGCCAGTCGTTTCCGAATCGCCAGCCCAGTAAAGATCTCACAGCTTCTCTCTCGCAGGTCAGCTGTCTTGGGGACAAGCGGCGGTGCATAACGAACAGGGGGACCCGGTGTCAGAAACGAAATTAGTCGTAAAATGATAATAGTCTCAACATGGACTTTTTCTCACAGACTGTTGAGAGAACATGGTAAAGCTACGAGCTTCTCATACGCAGTATACGGTAGGTATATATAGGTCCGGCATCCGTTGTCAGAAACAAGAGTAGTCTTAACATTGATCATAAGTTTTTCTCGTAACAATCTCATAATAATGAGAGACTCATAACTTTACGGTGTTCTCTCAACGGTCTATGAGAAAAAGTTCATGTTTTAAGACTAATGACAATGTTAAGACTAATTTATTTGTGACAACGGGTCACAGGACCAGAAAAGCGCGTGAAAATCGTCCCTCTTCATCGTACGTAAAAATCTAGTTTTTTTTGTTTTTGTTTTTTTTTGTTTGGGGGGCGTCACGACTTTTTTGTCTTACGCAGACGACTCCTAGACTTCCGCCTCAAATCGTAAAGAACCTATCCTTGGCAGGCACGAGGACTTGGACTGGAGTCAGTCTAAAGATAAGTGGAGTTGTGGCGAGAGAGGGCTCTGCCAGTGAAACGTGTAGTAACTTTGTTTGAATCAATGTTGTAGGAAATAATGACATCGCTCTTAACGTTGCTAATCTTAATGACATCGCCAATAGGGGAGAGCTAGTAGCAACATACGAGAGCGACGGGTCACGATGGTCAGCTGAGACTGAGAGAGTCTGTCACTGATAGTGAAGCTAAAAGGCGTTGGTTTTCTCACGGGATACAAACACTGGGGACTCACACACACGCACGCACGCACGCACACACACCCATGCAGGTCTCTCTCTCTGTACGTACGTGCGTGCGTGCGCGTGTGCGTGCGTGCATGCATGCGTGTGTGCGTACGTGCGCGTGCGTGCGTGCGTGCATTCGTGTGCCTGCGTGCGCGCGTGCCTGCATGCGTGCGTGCGTGTGCGTGTGCGCGTGCATGCGTGTGCCTTCGGCTGCGTGCGTGTGTGCGTGAGCGTGTGATAGTACATACATACGTACATACAGCAGCGAGGCAGGCGCGCGCCACGGCAGGCGGCATGGTTGCGCAACAGCAGAAAGCTAATTTTGCACGATGCACGAACTTTTCACATTGCCAGCCGTCCGCTGCTGTGTACTAGTTAGCGCTGCTGATGCTTCCAGTGATACTGATGCTGGGATGCTGGGAGCGTTGGTACTGATGCTAAGATGCTGGGAGCGTTGGTACTGATGCTGGGATGCTGGGAGCGTTGGTACTGATGCTGGGATGCTGGGAGCGTTGGTACTGATGCTGGGATGCTGGGAATACTGATGCTAAGATGCTGGGAGCGTTGATACTGATGCTGAGATACTGGGATGCTGGGAGTGTTGGTACTGATGCTGGGAGCGTTTGTACCGATGCTGGGATGCTGAAAGTGTCGGTACTGTTGTTAGAAGTGTTGGTACTGCTGCTGGGATACTGGGAACGTTGGGATGATGCTAGCGCTGATGCTGCTGCTGCGGGGATGCTAGGAGTCTTGCTAATACAGGGTGCTGCGTGTCTGATGTTGGCTTTTACACTATCACCCCCACCCTCAGAACACAAACTAGCATGTTTCTCTGGTTGTGCTATGTACGACAGCCTAAGAGGGCATGTGTCCTTCGCACACACGCTTGCTTTCCATTCCTTACACGAATTTTGCTAGCACGGGAGGTGTGGCCAACTTTTTTCGCACGACTGACGTGACAGTTAAATGTCATCACAGACTCGATAAAATATAAACACTACATATTTGAGAGAAACGGGTCAATTATGAACATACTACATGCGTGCATTGCCGCTAGTCCTGAAATTCTCTATGGGTACACTATGAGTGCATTATTGGGTGCATACAGGATACGTAGAGCTACACTACATGTACATTTTATTATGGGTACACTGACGAGGCTATACGTACAATAAGGATTCAGAGGCACACTACGGATACATTTACATTATCGGTACACTACGCATGCACTGTTCGCGCACGTAAGGGTAGAGTAAGGATACAGTAGCGCACACTACTCGTACATTTACACTATCGGTGCAATATGAGTGCATTATTGTGTGCATAACAAGTACACTGACGTGCTATGGGTGTACTGTGATTACAGGGCCCGCATAATATAACTGCAAACTACGGGAACAACAATATCGTAGCCGCTTGAGGTCATTGCTATTACGACCTGCTATACGCGCTATATGGGATTGTTCACCTCATCTCTTACATCTATCTATTTTCTAACCACCAGGAGCTACCTCGCTATTCCCAGCTTAACATTACGATGGTGCCGGGACCACCGTCGGCACCGTAAATGAAACGAAAAGCTTCAAAAAAAGCAATTTTTTATATCGCCATGCATCGCATATTTCGCCGGTGACTGTATCAGACATTTGGTAGGCGTTAGTGACGAGTTGCTGTCGTGGTGTCGTACCGCGTCTGTGTGTCTGTGTGTGTGTGTGTGTGTGTGTGCGTGCGTGCGTGCGTGCGTGCGTGCGTGCGTACGTGCGTGTGTGTGTGCGTGTCTCTCTCTGGAGGAAGGGGG